CATCCAGGGAGAGCCCCGGTGAACTAGGTTTTAATGCTTTTTTCCCCCGGTCAAAAATTTGATACAAATTTTTATTTAATATAATTCTTTTTCCAAAGTTTTCATATGATTTCTAAAAATTTTATGAAAAACCAAACTTGATAAAAAGGGAAAATGGGAAGGGTTTTAATACAAACAAGTGAAATCATAAAATTGTTGTGATTCTTTTGAAAGAACGGGGTTTGCCGGGCTCTACTGGTTTAACCGTACTCCATTGTATCCCCCGGGTTGCCAGCATCCCCCGGGTTTTTTTCGCTTTTTCCCCGGGGTTCCCGTTCACGGGGCTCTCCCGAGTTTACGGTATTTTATCCCCCGGATCATCCCCGGTTTGTGCCGGCAGAGCTATGGTGCTTCCCTGGTGTAACCCTGGTCGTTCCCGCAGAGCTTTAGGATGAAAGCCTGCAAAGCTTTACTTCCCGGATCATCCCAGACCACCCTGGTGATTTAAAATATTTGATTCCATCCAGGGTCAAATGCCGGATGTTCCCGGATCATCCCAAATGTTGCCAGCAGAGTTACGGATGTACCCCAGATGTTCCCGGTAGATCCCCGAACACCGGACGTCTACCGGGGCTCTGCCGGGATGTCAGTGAGACGGTAGCTTTAAGTCAAGACACATTATGAGGACCTTGTATTCACAGTTGTTATGGTGTCTCTGTCATATTTCCAAACAAATATTTTTTCAAATGTTTACAGCTTAAATAATGGTGTCACACATTCTATCATGCAACCAGTAAAGATCAGAGCCAGGGTAATTATCCTTTAAAACATTTTGAAATCTAATAGATTTTGAATGATTTTGCTAAAATTGAAGTCCATAATTTTATAATATCAATTGGGGTAAGGATTAAATGCCCAGCAGCTGAAAGGGTGGCTAAACCTTACTTTTTATTTGAAATACATGTACATGTGTCTAAGATAGCATTTAAACCATTCTATAGAATAGGATATAAATTTATTATTAACCATCAAAAATAGACATTCATTCTCTTTAAACTTATCACTGATTATTCTTACTTTCATTATTTTCATCATTCAAAACATGACTTGCACTTATTTTATAATCTTATTTTATAATGGCTACATATATTTTGTGTGATTTAGAAGTAATGTTTTATTTTATCCAATTATTAAATCCTATAAAAAAGATATGAGTTTGAGATACTTCCGTTTTGCACAAAGAAAATAATTAAATTTGCTCAAAATTTGAGCGGAAAACAGTTGTAACTTGAGATACTACCCTTTTGCACAAAAAAATATGTAACAAATTATCAAAATTTTATTTGTAAAACGGTTGTAACTTGAACTTATTCAAATATCTTTTTTCAAAAATAATTTGCTTCCTTTTTATTATTTTGTTTCTAATTCCTTCACTAAAATGTATATATTTTCCTAAAATAAAACATTTTTATTCATTTACAAAAGTTTTAAAAAGTTTTTTCATGCTCCTGTAAATATTGCTTAAATTGAGTTACAACCGTTTTACGCTAAGCCCGCGGAATGTCCGTCGTCTGTCGTCCGTCGTCCGTCCACAATTGCTTGTGAACACTCTAGCGGTCGCATTTTTGTCTCAATCATCATCAAACTTGGTCAGGATGCTTATCTTGTTGAAAGCTCGGATGAGTTCGAACATGGCTTATCTCGGATGAAAAACTAGGTCACAAGAGCTAAAAATAGAAAAATCTTGTGAACACTCTAGAGGTCACATTTTTGACCCAATCATCATCAAACTTGGTCAGGATGTTTGTCTAGCTGATAGCTTGGATGAGTTCGAACATGGGTCATCTCGGATGAAAAAGTAGGTCACAGGAGCTATAAATAGAAAAACCTTGTGAACACTCTAGTGGTCACATTTTTGAACCAATCATCATCAAACTTGGTCAGAATGCTTATCTAGTCAATTGCTTGGATGAGTTCGAACCTGGGTCATCTCTGATGAAAAACTAGTTCACAGGAGCTAAACATAGAAAAACCTTGTGAAAACTCTAGTGGTCACATTTTTGACCCAATCATCATCAAACTTTGTCAGGATGCTTGTTTAGATAATAGCTCGGATGAGTTCGAATATGGGGTATCTCGGATGAAGAACTAGGTTACCGGAGCTATAAATAGAAAAACCTTGTTAACACTCTAGCGGTCACATTTTTGTATCAATCATCATCAAACTTAGTCAGGATGCTCATCTAGTTGATAGCTTGGATGAGTTTGAACATGGGTCATCTCGGATGAAAAACTAGGTCACCGGAGCTAAAAATAGAAAAATCTTGTTAACACTCTATCGGTCACATTTTTGCATCAGTCATCATCAAACTTTGTCAAGATGTTTGTCTAGGTGATAGCTCGGATGAGTTTGAACATGGGTCATCTCGGATGAAAAAGTAGGTCACCGGAGCTAAAAATAGAAAAACCTTGTTTACACTCTAGCGGTCACATTTTTGCATCAATCATCATCAAACTTGGTCAAGATGCTTGACTATGTGATAGCTCGGATGAGTTTGAACATGGGTCATCTCTGATGAAAACTAGGTCACAGGAGCTAAAAATAGAAAAACCTTGTTAACACTCTAGTGGTCAAAATCTTGACTCAATTGTCATCAAACTTGGTCAGGAAACTTGTCTAGGTCATTGCTGGGAATAAATCGAACATGGGACATCTCGGATGAAAAACTAGGTCACAGGAGCTAAAAATAGAAAAATCTTGTTAACACTCTAGTGGCTACTGTTGTGATCCAAATATTCTGTTAATTGGTCTGAAAGTTTGTTTTGATGATTTCTAAGTCATGATCGAACATGGGTCATCTTGGATGAAAAACTAGGTCACACCGCCCAAATATGGAAAAACCTTGTTAACATTCTAGTGGTCACATTTTCGACTCAATTATCATCAAACTTGGTCAGGATGCTTGTCTAGGTAATTGCTTGGATGAGTTCGAAATCGCATGTGAAACTAGGTCACCGGGTCACTAGGTCACTGCATGTTGCGCAGTTGTAGAGTGTGTAATAAACTGTTTGTATTTAGGTCATTAGATGCGTATGAAATTACTTGAAGAAGTATTGATTTGTTAATAAACTGTAATACTGTAGAGATTTTTGTCGAAACAAAATGGGTTTGAAGATGACCTTTTTCCATCCACGGTTTTCGTATTCGTTATTTTATTTCAAAGTTTGAATTAAAAGTATAATTCATCAAGAATAAAAGATGAGGAAGAAGTTTCCAGTAATAATTAGGTTGCATTCATTAACTTCACCAGCATGAATGCTGGTCCAGACAAATCTAATAAAGTGAGCAATATATTCCTTATATGATACTGCACAAGAAACATCTCGATCTTAATATGGATAGTTAATAATAATTTCCTTTAAGATCAATTAACATTAAAAATAGCCACTATAGTAGTGTTAATGATAGAAATGTTTAAATCTAAAAAATAAAGCAATATCTGAAGTGTTGTTTTTATTCTTGGATATATTTTATTAACTGTTTGATCAAAATAAGTATTAACCCTTTCGCTGCCAGAGGGTTATTGTTTTATTGTTCACTTATTTGCCAGAGGATTTTCTAAGAAATTACTATATTATTAATTAATATAATTATTATTATTTGTTATTAGTATTATAATAATTATATATGTTTCCAAATCTGTTAGTATAATAATAATTATTGTTGATCGTATAATTTTCTTTATATTTGTTATTATTTTTATTATTTTTTATTATTATTATTAATTTATTATTATTACTATTAATATTATAGAAACGGCTATAGCCGTCCATATGGCAAATACGCCGAAAATAACAGGGACGGCTTAAGCCGTCCCTATGGCAGTGAAAGGGTTAATCATATTAAGGATACGGGGAGTGTTATTTAATACATGCACGTATTACGTCCTGTACTAAAATAGGAGAGGTATTTATCCATATCGCAATAAAAGAATAAATCGGCGATCATGGGTGCACAATTATTTCCAATTAAAATGCCTGTCTGAAAACTGTATAACCAAGTCCACAGTGTCAATGAAAATTGGTACACTTCGAAGTTGTCATAATCGTATGGTAAAAATTAGTCAGCCGCAAGTGTTAGTTAGTTTATATCCTTGTATATCATTACCTCATTTTTGAATATTTTTTATGATAGCATAGCCTTTTGCGAAGACTGTTCAAAGTGTTCCCTTGAAGCAAAGTTGTCCTACCCTGGGGTCATTGAGTGTCTTTGTTTATCAAGTTGCATGATCAACAGGGCATTATACTTGCGATGTTGCTTCATTTTATTGACCTCTATTAAATGGCTTAAGATGCTCCACTGGACTAAAAAAATAGCCATCTCTATTCCCTTTAAGTATTAAGTAAGACATTTTGAAAGGAGAAAGGTCTGAGTTATGTAACATAAATGACGGTTTCGTTACGGTAACCCAAGTGTTTAAACTTTATCCATATGGTTAAAATTGACCTTGTCTTCAGGCCACTTCAGTTAATGATGGTTAATTCAAAAGATAACTAGGTTTTTCTTTTGCATGGAAACTTTGACTTATTTAGACCATGTCTTTATTTGGTTTCATGCCATTATCCTTCAAAACGTACATTCATTGTATTCTTAGAACCAAATTTTTTTATTTTTTAATTATGACTTCGACTATCGTTGGTTTTTCAGATGGGTAATCAAAAGGTCATCATGGAAGTTTGTGATTTTTTAAAACTAATCTTCAAAACGTTGGAACACAAGTAAACTGTTATGTCAATTCAAATTTGACATTGCTTGATCTTTAATGCGGAGTGTCAACTTGAATTTGGCCATTGGCAATTAATCAGAGTTTATCAATCGCATTTTGATCTGTATATGTAAAATCTTATGGAAAGAACCATTATTTTTAAACATGAGACGAATGGTAAGATAAATATTTTGTATCAAGTAAACGTGTAAAATATTGGAAAACTAGTGTTGGTTATCCCGTCTGAAGTTTATCATATTTATCTATTTGACGATAACTCACTTCACAAAAAGAGTGTAGACGTTACAACAACCGAATACGCCTGCTTTAACAAAACAACAGAATGGATCGAACTGCAATATTGTTAACCATCGTTTTTCTTTTTGTAAAATGTTTGCCGGGCCAGTCTGTGACAAGGTATGCTTATTTTTCTGTTTTTTCTTTGTTTTTTTCTTTGTTATTATTTTATTTTATTGATTTTACATGTTTGTATGTGTCTAAATGAAAGAAAGTAACAACAACATTCGAGGTCCTTATTAAGCTCTACTATAATTGTTTAACCATATGAATTTGCAACATCGCAGTTTAAGTGCTATATTGCAGTTGTAAGGCTGTTTTGAAAATTGTATTGTTTTTTCAATACCGCGGGATTAATGAATCCATTGAAATTTGCTCCCAGCGATTTTTGCTTATATACAGCGAGCAAGTTTTCTTAATTCTCACAATTAAATTGAATTACACCGTATCTGCAGTATTCGACTGTCCTCTCTTATTTCAAAATTGAATAAAGCTTTTCATGCAAATCATCTATATCTAATTATGTTTTATATGTAAGTAGATTTTATAACAGTAAATAGATAATCATCGATAATATGAGAGATTTATCTTACTAAAGTTTCTTTTTTGTAAATTTCAGACGGGAGATCCTAAATAATTTAACAATGAGTTCCGAATACGATGCTGGATATCCGGCTGATTACGACAAACGTATGTTTAATTCATATTACTTTTTATATTTCTAAGATATTTTGGTACTTTAACTTTACGTGTCGTATTTATTTTTTTTTTTTATTTGTATTAGTAATAACAGAACTAGCTTGATAGGTTTTTTGGTATTATACATGTCCTTGGATGTTTGTTAATCAAACATATTTGAAATATACGATTTCGTCTTTTGAAACTGTCGAGTTAAATTGATGTTTAACCTCATAAGAAGAAACCGAAACCGGAAGGCAAAAAAGAAAAAATGAAAGAAAACAACAACAACGACAACCCCCCCCCAAACAACAACCACCAAATAAACGAAATGCGCAAGAATTATACGAAAATCGAAAATGGATAAATTTCCCTTTACAAAATTATATATCGGAAAGGTCTTGAAGAACGCTCTCAGTTGAAACAAATAAAAAATGTAGTGCACTTAATGAATGTTTTTCTTCTTTTTTTCGTCAGGAAAAGTTATAAAATAAAATAAGATGATGTATGAAAACAAAGTATTATTCAAATAAGATCGTATATTTTTGTGAAACATCAACATTTTATTTGCCGTTCAAATCACTTGATCTTACTTTAAAATCACGATCACACTTTTTAACCTTTTCTGTCATTCTAGAACACCTTAAATGTGGTATGATACACAAAACGGAAAGAGTTTATCGGTTTATCCTAAACTAAATAACTAACCATGTTAACAAATAGTATGTAAAGTCTAAGATTTGTTGAGTTTCTCTTAATAACATCGTTAAATAATCAAATATATTGATAGAGTTTTGGTTAGACAACTGATTATCACTCCTGAGGTCCCGGGTTCGATCCTGGGTTATAACCGTGGGATTTTTCAGAGACACTTTCAGTGTTTCCCACCTAACTAGAGGTGTACTGGTAAGAAATCCAGGTAATCCTCGCATGTATCAGTGCTATACACTGGGCATGTAAAAGAACCAAGGGGTCTATTCAATAAGAGCTAGGGGCTGGTTCCCGGATTCCCTTGTATCTCATAGCTGTCTCTTAAAAATGTATACAATGTATACCTGCTTAGAGTGATCGTAAACGATTTTAAAGCAGTATGATGTAGAACTAGAACTAGAACTAGAACTAGAGGTAGATGTTCAAGTGGAAAGTACATTATTTAACTACTTATTATTATGTTTTTAGAAACCGAAAGTGCTAATTGTTTTGACCTATTTCGGAGTTAGTAATAATTGGGTGACAATAGAATTCTATCATTGATTCTGATTGTCAGACATGTTTTAACTACTTTAATCCGTATGAAGTCCAATATTATAATGAAAGTTGTGTGTTAATATCATTGCGCTTTATATTGATTCTTTAAATCTGCCCCGCTTACTTCCTTTTACCTTCCACATAACGCATTGTTAATACTTGTTGCTGGAAGTAATGTAGTTTCTCTTCTAGATGCTAGTTAGAAAACAAAGTAAAATCATACTATCGTTCTCGTTAATAATTGATAGTACTCATACATCATTTTAAGTAAATTTTTGAAACCTGTTAAAGCAGAAATGTGCAAATATAGACGTTTTTTACAATACGATTTTTCCGGAGCAAAGGATGTTGCATTTCGTGCATGCGAATTCTGCGTAGGGCAAAAACGCAAATAACGCTATTCTACATTTTAGCATACTTAAAGGCATTAAAGGATGTAATTTCAAATTATTTCACCTAGAAAATAGAAATTTTTGGATGAATTAAAGTGGTATGTACTTAAAACGTGAACTGATATTTATAACAAATATGACTAATAATCAATGACCAGAAGTCCTCTGTTTAACGTATCATTAGATGACTTTTACCGTAGTAATTTAAATTGAAACAGCAAGGTGTCAAAGATGAAAATTTTATTACTCATGTATTAGATAATATTACGTTATTGGGATTCATTTGAATATGGATTAACAATGCGATAATTAATTGTCAAACAGATGACACGTGACCGAATGTTATTTGTCAGCTATTTCACAATATCATTCAACCGGGAAGTTTTGATACCGGCATGACATAGTTAATCGCGTAAAATTATAAAAATCATAATTTAAGTAACTTTTATTTATACCAATCTCATCATTTCATTAATCATTTCATTAATCAGTTCATTAATTTTGTGAAGTGACAGAAAATGTGACGCGCATGATATGTTCAGGAGGAACCGGTTGAAATGTGTGTTATTTCACTGGGCAGCACAGTCAAGTTGGATAACGAATACAAATATAACTGAGCACGAAAAAACATTATCATGTGATACGATTTTTTTAGAAAGATAATTGACTTCGATTTAATATGTTATAAAATTTCTTTTGTTTTTTTATGAAAGATTTTCAAAAAAAATCAAAGAAAAAAAATCTGACTTCATTTTTGCTAACATGTATATTGCCTCACTTTTTTATAACAATTATATCAACGTCAAGTCCGTGGTCGTAAGAGGAAATTCATAAACAATCGTATTTTTCCATGCCTTTTAATTGGCTTATTGGCCATTGGCTTTAAAGGTATTTTAGTGTTCCTGTTAAAAGTTATTTTATATGATTTTCTATTTTTTTTTTAAACTAACTCAGAATTGTCTACGAACTTCTACTACATTTCTATAAAGGGTGCAGATTGCGCATGCGCGAGAAAATACCACTTCTTGTCAACTTTTCATACAACGGACAGCGTCGTTAAAAGGTCTATAAAAATACCATCCTGTGACTTCAAATGAAATCCGTAACATTTTATTATTTCAGCTTGATTGAGTTCCTTTTGAAATTACAACAATGTTGCTATAAATTAGTCGAAAAATTCTCCAAGTACGATTTAATGTTAATGTCGTTATGCAATACTCGTATTAGTTCAATTAACCCATTATTTGTTAAGTATTTGTTTCCTTTGCGCATGTTGCAGACGTACAAGTTTATTAAGTAATTTTTATCAATTAAGAACCACAAAGGAAGCGACCGGTAGGGACCAGAATGTTAGCGTTTGTCCATTTCTTCTCTAAGGGATTATAAAGAGCACGACCCCACCACACAGAGTGGTGACTTGATGTATGAAGAAACGTTGACTCGGCTCTCCCCTAGAATTTAACCGATGTGACGTCGTCATAATAAGGCGGGGCTTTTAGATTCAGTTAACACATGCCAACTTGTTCCAAACTCTTAACTTTATAAATAAGTGACAAAATTTGCCTGTTTGTACGACGAGGAATATTTCTTTTTTTTTTTTAAAAAGTGTACTAATGTGATTGGCCGACAAATGATGTTGAACACTAAGCACAATGAGTATGTATGATAGCATCTTTTATTCTTGTTTATGTACTCATATGGTCAATGTTTTATACAACGATTTGAAAGCAATTAATCTAATTTGATTCTTCTGTTCAATGATAACTTCTTTTCAACTTGAATACTTAAAAAGAAATGTGAAGGAGATCTAGTCTTTCAGTTACTTGATTTTAATTGAGTGACTTTTACCAAATTGAGGTATTTTATATCTGCTGTTTTAGCGTGTATATGCTGTACTCATTACGTCAAATTTATTGACCGATTATTCATTTTTCTAGGAATTCAGAACAAGATAATAAATGTCCTGATAAAAATTATCAAAACTGAACAACATATATTCATAAGTAAATAAAAAGTGATACACAGCAATGAACGACGATCCTGATTACCCTTTATCTTCTACATACGAAACATGTGAGGCAATTTTTAGGATGATAGTAAGAATTTGAAGTGTCTGATAGCTAGATAAATTTATTTTGATAGCTTTCACCTCGATCTTTGATACAGCGTAAGCTAATCAAAGTGCATTATACAGATATAATAGTTTACTGTTACTTCATATTTCATTCACGTAAATATGTACATTTTAAAAACAATGCTACTAGTCTGGTTATTATAAACACTTATACAGTTTGAATTGCTTTAAGATGAAAATGTGAAAATATTGTGACTCTAGCAAAAATCATATCAATGAAATACCGATATCATAATGTCATAAATTTATTCCGTTAAACTCTACATATATTTCTATATTAAGAAAAGCTCGAATATACACAGAACAGTTAATTTTGGTATCTTTTGAAAAAATGACAAGCACATTTAGTTAAATATGTAGTGGATTGTATGACCTTTTCATGACATTATTAAAATTTGATCAGATTTTCATTAAATTATTTAAATGGGTTGATAAAACAATAATATTTGGATCGAAATAATGTATTTACGATACTAAATATATATGAAAACTTGATCACCATTCGTTCATTTCAACAGATGGTTTTGCGTTTAATTTAATAATAAGACCTGTACAAATTTCTTTTTATACAAATTTGATAAATAAGAAGAAAGAAATACCAAGATATCATATTATCAATTTAGGTGGGAGGTAAACTTCTTGAAAGACTGAGGCGTAGAACTTTACAAGTAATGTCACTGGTAAAATGCGTTGCCCGTCTATCTATTGTTAACTAGATAAGCCGCTCTCCGCACTTCTCCTGACCAGATCAAGAGATGTATGTAGCAAAGCAAGGAGAGTTGACATGTTAATTATATGCATAGTTGTTTTGTTAAAGTAGACCTATAGAAACTAATTGAAAATGTAAATGCAATTGTATTAAGTTTTCGACTGGTTGCTTTGGAAAAAAACAAACATAGAAGACTTCAGATTTGTAAAATTCAGTGAGCTGTGTTCTGGCGATAAGTCGGCAGCCAAAAATGAAATACATTCATTTTAGTAAACTTTTTGAAACCTGTTTTAAGTAGATTTCTTAAAACGCTTTAGGTGCGGATTATATAGAAATATACCTTACTTTGAATAAAATCCATAAATAATTTTGAGTATCTTTGATGAATAATGTTGCTATCAACGAAAGAAATATCCCAATGCGAGTTTATGCCAATGACGTTAAGTAATTCTCAATAAAACAATTACTAGTGTATGTTAAATGATTCTTTATTTTGTATATTTTGTATATCATAGTGTTTATTAAGTGAAATTATAACAATTAAAAACGCCAAAGGAAGCAACGTTAACGGACCAAATGACTAGTAAAATGTTTGGGTTTGTCTCTTTTTTCTTCTCTAAAGGATTAAAAGAAGCACGACCCAACCACAAAAACGGTGACTGATTGTATAAATAAATGTTGACCCTGTTCTCGCTAAGAATTTATCAATGTCAAATCCTCATAATAATACGGGGCTTCTGCATTCAATTACGCATATGTACTTCGTCCCAAACCTTTAATTATTAAGTGGTCCATTTATAAATAAATGACAAAAATGTGTGTCTATAACATTATGATTTCTTTTTGAAATTTAAGTTATTATATTGGTCGACAAATGATGTTGTTCACGAGAAACAATGAATATGTTTCATCATCTTTTATTGTTGTTTATATACCATATTATTTCGCCTTATTTGTGTTTACTATTTTCTTTGTCTATGGACCCGATTTTTATCAATTAATCCCTTAGATTTACAGCTAAAAATAATTTGGAAGCACGATTTCCTTTAGAATTTTATTATGTAAAGTCATATATTGGTCCCCCTTTGGTGATTGGCAGCATGTCATATTAATGAATGAGAACGGGAACAAAGCTATAAATAGATAACATTAAGAAAGTCTGAAAATCTATGTGTAGAAGTAGTTTAATTAACTGCTACCGTAATGGAACGAACTGGAGAGTTTTGCAGAATGAAATGCAAACATATTCAACCATAAATTTCACCCTTTATAAATTATCGAAAAAAATATAGTAAATTAAATAGCTCCCCTGATGATTTAAATCGACCCTGGTGTCCCGAATTTTTGCGAGGCAATCGGTTTTAGGGTGGTTTGGGTGGAATGTTGATTTGCCGGATACTTCTACACACATTGATGGGTCAGACGAGGATTTTGAAGCAATTCAACAAAATAGTGGATTTATCTCCCAATAAACCAATTAACAATAGCACTTATTTATAACCTATGTCAAGTAACTTTTATATCTTTGACTCGCATGACATGCATGAACGAGATGTTAGTGAATTTCCTCATACTCTATGATACCTGTCTAAAATACAGGTAACAGTCTTCCATTGATAAATAATGTTTCAATATATCAACATGCCATGCAAATTTATTCATGACTTTAAATGTACCATTATTTTGCTCGGTTCCTATAATTCACTGGTTTTATGATATCACAGTATTTACATTTTCTGTGACTGCTACTAAAAGTTTTACATGATAATGCTAATATTTTTAAATCTGTCACACGAAATTCATTTTCATCTGCAAATAAATCTTTTGAGTAATGACTTTATTCGTGGCAATAAAACTATTTAATAAAATCTTCATATTTAACCACTTTTTCCCTTAATTGTTTTTACACAGTCAATTAAAATATGTTATAATCACACCAAATCAAAAACACTGTAATTTATGACAATCAGGATTAACTGAAGATGAAACTCATTTCTTAATTGTGTGTCCGGTATATAATGATATAAGATCAATGACATTTAATGACATTATTACAATTGATGTATATAACAACATGAAATATATGGAAAAATTAGTATTTCTTATTAAAAATCAACAGAACAAAGTAATAAAATTTCTTGTTAAAAGCCTATGTGTTAAGGAGAAATTTGCTGTATAATAGGTAACTGTTTTTAAACGTGTCAATAATGAAACATGATGATATATTGACTCACCATTTTCTGAAATCAGATACTGTAATTAACAGATCGAGCAGCAACTTTGATCTCATTTAAATGTTCCATTTTAAAAGCTATGCATTGATCACAAGTTGTATATTTGTATATATACGAGTACATGCACAATTCTGGTAAAATCAAATTAACCATTGAAAAGTTTAAAAGAATATCTGGTCATCAGATTTCTACTAGTTCGTCGTCACTTGCTGCATTTATTGCTTGGACGCCAATTGATGCTTTTCACCCATGCCTTTCTTGTTTATCATGATATGTATACCATTTGGTGCGACACATGTAACGGACCTTTTGAAAAATAAAGTCGATTTGGCTTATTTACATGTGGATTTTAATATTTCATACAATGATAAGTTGTTGATATTTGTAGTAAGTGAGTAGCATTATAGGTGAAAAAAGAAAATGTACATGCTTTGATATTTTTATCATCTTGTATTACTGACTACAGTAGTGGCACAAACAGAACAATGTTACACTACTATCATGTCACATTACATTTACAAGTCTTGTTTGTATTGGAATTACTTTTCTTACCAGGTTGGCATCAGAGAAAGCATTTTTTTTTTTTATTGAATTTAATATCTGGCCCCTCTGTCATGGACAGTGCATACGATGATTAAATGATTTACCAAACACCCGGAATAATGTACACTAGTCCTTACTCTAAATAGAAAATGACTTGTGCGCAGAAATGATTTGGTAAGGTATCTGTAATAAGCGCATTGTTTGCGCGGAGCTTCACAATTGCTGCATTGCAGCAACATTTTTAATTGTAAGATAACTAAATTTGAAGGGAATAAGGGTGATATTTTTCTGTTCAAGATGGTGGTGCTGTTGGTAGTTTTCACTCCGAAACACGAAAACAAAAAAAAACACATTGAATTCACCAGAGCACAGTTCAATCACCGCGTCGTTCCTGGGCAGTATGTCAAACAGTTTGCCAGTTATAGTTGCCTTCACTTTCGCAAGGAATTGAAACTTCTGTACATGTCAGAGCAGAGGTACAGTGCGAATGACCGTAGAAAGGATTTCATGGTCAACGAAAGTGACCTGCGCCGTCCGGGAATCGAGCCCGGGTCGCTCGATGATTCACAGTCCAACGCTCTACCTATGTGCTAACCGGATCTATTCAATATAATTTCTTTTCTCCATTTATAATTAAAAGAATGTGAATTAGATGCAATCTTAAGGTGACTTGTTTTTAATTAAGTGACATTCACTAGATCGAGTCACTCTATATCTGTATTCTAGAGTGTCTTAAGATAATGCAGTGTGTAACGTTATACTCATTAAGTCAAATATTTTAAGATATATATTTTTTCGGATACACGTAATTCAAAACGAGATTATTATTGTTCTGATAAAATTTATCAAAAAAGAACAACACATATTCCTAAGTAAATAAAAAGTGATGCACAGCATTGAACGACCCTGTTCAAGTACCTTTTTATCTTATACATATAAAGCATTTGGGACGATTTTTAGGACGGCGTTTAAAATTTGAAGTGTTTGGTAACTAGTGTATTAACTTTAATAGTGTTGACCTCCAACGCTATGGTCAAGCGATAAGTTGACAGCCGAAACAATGACATATAAATGTTATTTTAATTGACATTTTTGATTGATTGAATGACTAATTGGTTTATTGATTGAGGTATTAAGCAATGCATGAACCTTTGCTCCTTTTACGAAGAAATATGTGTTATGGTTCTCTAGCAGCTGTATTGAATTAATCATGTATTTATCCTTTACAGCTATGCCGAGTAATGTTATTGTACAACTAGAGATATCAGATGTGACATCAATAAATGAGCAAAGAATGGTAAATTTGTTTTAACCTTTAACTGAATATACGTACAAAACAACAACTTATTAAATTCTTTATGATACATAATTGTTAAAATATTATAATAGGGTAAGTCATTCGTCACAGTTATAACAAATTAAACTTATTATATCTGTAACAGTTAAAGAATTTTCTTTATTTAATATAGAAAATAAAGTGAAATAGCCATTATCAAAGAACGTTTAAAAAGAAATTCCTGGCATATATGAAATGTTGCCGTATAAGCAATTTTATATTTATTGAATGCGAAAGTCTTAAGATATATTCTAACTTTCATCAGTTAAACAAGAGCTGTCAATGCAAGATTGATGCACAATTGATGATCTTCAGTGTATGACAAAAGGAAAATATTCCATACACAAAAATATTCAATGTACATGACATAGTTATGATTCTTGGATATTGGCCAATGTTAAGTTAAGGGCCTTTGCTGCAAGCAAAATTTTAAGCGATCATTTTTTAAATACATGTTGGGCCATTGTTCATATAGCTACGGGCATTGGGAAGTGAACACAAATAATGATCCCAAAAAATAGAGAAAAACAGAATCCCTAAAGAAAGCCCAACGCGGCAAAATTGTAAATGTTGCAGGCTCGGTTTGATTGAGCCTGTTCATGGACGGTACCAAGACATGTGTTGAATTTCATGTGCATATCCTAAATAGTTTCAAACATAAATTTTTACACCATACAATTTTAATTAAGAGTTACATACAGTTCACTGAAATTATATACGCATATTTCACTTCTCTTACAATTTTTAAACATTCAAACATACAACAAATTTTATATACGAGGTATGATCAAAAAATCCTCGGCCCGATATACTTCTAGCCACAACATTGACATTTACACACACTACGTCGATACCGATATCTTTTTGAAGATTACTGACCGAGTTTCACGCGGTTTTACACAGATTAAGTAACATAAAACACACTTTGATCTGTAGACGGGTGTATCATTTAAACCAAATGGAGAAAGTTAAAATCAGACCCGTCATTAAATACCTCTGTAATATGCCCCCCCCCCCCCCCCCCAAGGAAATTCACGTAGATTCATGGATAAGGCATGCCAAAGGTTTCCGCTAGAATGGTCATCAGACAGTTGACAGACGACCAGAAACGGACCAGGCTTTACATTTCAAGATATATTTTGTCTCGCTTTGAGGATAAAAACTTATTTTATCTACCGGATCGTAAATCAGGATGAAACATGGGTCCATCACTTCGATCAATAATCCAAAAAACAGAGCATGCAGTGGAATCATCCTGGCTCACCCCCCCCCCCCCACCCGAAGAAATTCAAGAAAGCCTGTTTCGCAATTATTCGCAGTGATTCTTTTTTTTCGTTTTTCACAGATTCAAAATATTTCTACATGTCGCAAAGAGGGAACAAAGTGACAAAACAAACACACTAAGGTCGATAACTTCGCACACTAGTTTATCCGTCGCACAACTTGTTAGATTCATAACAATTATTAGTTTTTCAAGTAACAAAATCCGCTCGATACAAAATCTTATCCTTTTAATCCTTATAAAGACATTTGTCATATGTTTTGGCAATCCATCAAGGAATCAGAAAGATAGAAGACAAATATGAAGTGGACATTTACATTGACCATTATTGTGCGGAGCGGGCTGTAAAGATATATGCCAAATTGAAAATCAAGCAGGTATTGACAATTGTATAAACCGGACATGATTTGACCTTTAACATACAAGTTTGTCCTTGGCTGTTAAAGTGACAACTTTGGTTTTGTCATTGTAGACTAGAAACAATACATTGCAGTAACCTCGACCTTTCATTCAAATTTTTTTTTGTTCTTTCACGAGTCCATTGTGAAATCATAATGGTTATATTTTTCAATCATTTGAAATTTTATGATGCATGAAGAAATTATTAACCGGAAACAAACTAAAACTCCATTTAAGGTAAATGCGATAAGTTCAATCCCCTGCTGTGCCCTTGCCCTTCTATGTAGGGACGTGGGTCTTTTTCATGATTTTTATTAATTCAAATGTAAATGCAATTATATGTATACATGTTACCTTCTTAAAGAGGAAACATATTGAGCATTCGTTAAACAGAATCTTACAAGATATTTTCCTCTCAGCGTTATGAATGAATGAGTGAATACATAAATAGATAAATAAATAAATAAATAAATAAAAGCAACAACAAGAGCAAAAGACTTGTTTAATTTTCTAAACTTCATTATGTACATGCATTTTCAGGAGTACAGTCTTATGATGTTTTTGAGAATGCAGTGGGTCGATAGCAGATTGGCATTTAATGATTCCGCAAATTTCACTCGAATCGAATTAACTGGAAATATGGTCAACTTGATCTGGACACCTGATGTGTACATCAGTAATGAGAGAGAAGTTGATGCTCGTTCACTTGTGAAACACGAAAAACTTGCCTACATCGATTGTCATGGACTAGTATCATTCAGCATGAGGTAAATATTAAATCTTAATTTTAAGTTTTTAGTTGATCGTCTTAAAACAGATAATCAATCATTTGTTAAGTTTTGTTTATATTATTTTTTTACATGCTTATCGGTAGTTTATAGAAATATATCAGTGTAATAAAACTGATATTTCACTGTTTGAAACAATGACATTATTGATTTGATAATTTTTACTGTTTTGAATTTAATCCCGTTGCGTGAAATACCAGCGTGCACGGTATTTGAAACCAACTAACTGACGTGATGTCGTAAATGACGATACTTTGTATTATAATTTGGCGCGCTTTTCATTAAGCATTATGTTAAAATGTCTTTTTTAACGTTTCTTTGCATATAATAAAAATTAAATGTGTTTAGTTTAGTGTAAGATCGAAATATTTTTCACCACGTAAACACCAAAAGTTCATATTTCACTTGTGGCTGCGCCACTAGTGAAATATACCTTTGGTACTCACTTGGTGAAATATACGTATTCCAATCTTACACTGAACTCAACAAATATCCTCTATATCATTTATGTATTTCTTGTTCATCAAATGGTATAGAATACAGATTAAATTAATATTTTCTTAGAAAAACACCTTGAACTAGTTTACCTGGACAACATGTAAAAGATGCTTACAAGAATATCAAAATCATTTAAAAATTAAATTCTTTATAATTTCAATCGAGGTACAGATGGAAACTAATTTGTTAAAATATATTTGTTGTTGTTCGTTTTAGAATATCATTGACAGGTTATTGTCACATGGATTTAACAAAATATCCGTTTGACGAACAAACATGCAATGTGAGGTTGCAAAGCTGTGAGTACTTCTAAATGTTTTTCGTTTACGCCAAAAAATGTTTATTTGTAAGGTTAATAACTATTTATCGATAGTGTATGCGGTTTTTTTCCTGATCTTATCAAATAATTCAACGCCAAATGACCTATTTAACTGATAATATTTCACCATGATTCAAAACTGATATCGTTCTTAAGTTTCAGGTATTCGCATTTTTACTTTTTAAACAAACACTGAAATCCTGTGTCATTTGTGCATAAATGTATCATTTACAAATGTTCAAATTAGGGTTATTAATTAAAGAATATTTATTCAATATTTACCAAGTTTATACTGTCACATCTGCACCCGATGCAGGATAAACGTTCTTCTGTTAAGGAAATAGTTATCATTTTTCAGTACATTCTTGTAGAATAATGCATGGTGTAAGTTCAAAGTTTCCTTAGTAATGTTTTCAAGAAGGCCAATAAGCTTAGACAAAACATTACAAAGCATGTGAACGATAAACTGTGTATCATCTTACTATAACGAAACGAGTCATCTTTACAAATCTTCAGGTTTAGTATCTACATGTATTTCTCAATGCTGTTATTTGTTAATGCTAATGTTATTATGCTTGGAAGTTAAATTTAAATAGTTAAATATGATAATATAGATAAGTACAATTTTTTTTTGAAAGTGCAAGCATGCATGATAACTGTTTCAATAAGCACAATAGCAGTGTCAATGAGTAAATTGTAACAGTAAACATGCATTGTATAATTTCTACCTCAATATCATTCCATACGGATAGACCTGTAACAGAAAACAGCAATTAGTTTTCAATGTGGTCAACAATGGAAATTTGAAAGGTTAGCATTTGGTTTGTCTACTAGTTCAGTTGCATTCACACGACTAGTACAAATAGTTTTAAGGGTCTTATCTGGAAAACTTTTGTTTGTATCTAGATGAAATTATTCTATTTGCAAAGAACTATGTTGATACTTTAAAACAGCCTGAAGAAGCTTTACAGAGGCTGAAGCAAACAAACTTAAAACCTAGAAAATGTGTTCTTTTTCAAAAGCAGGTCTCACTTTTTGTTTAAATGGTAGGTGAGTGAAGAAGGGACCTCCACGTTTTCTTGAACTGGTTTCTTTTTACTGAAAATATATTCATTAATTTTTTGAAAAAGCAAAACCGCTTCACATTTAAACAGAAAAAGTTAAGATGTTTATTTAGACTATCCAGTGTGAATATGTTTTCCAACCATTAAAAACTGCTTTAATAACAAGCCTTATACTAGATTTCCCTACCCAAAATGATTATTTCATACTTGATACGGACGTGAGTAAGATCAGTATGAGAGCCATGCTACATCAAACACAAAACGGAGAAGAAAAAGCAATCGCATACTGCCCTAAGTGACTTCCGAGGTCCGAGCGGGACTCTGTTTGACGTGAAGAAAGAAACTTGCAGTCGTGTTCGCCGTTAAACATTTTAATCATTTTTTGTGCGGCAGAAAACTCACTTTTCCCACAGATCATTCAAGTCTAAGATGGCTTACTTATTTGAATGGTTAGAAGTAAAACAATGTCTGGCGCAACAAAAAATATGGAAAACCTGATGGAAAAGGAAATTATTAGGGAAGGCTGTATACAACCTGTCAAGTCTGGAGGGTAAATAGTGAAAAGTTAACTATAGGGAACAGGTCTGCAAAGTTTGACAGTAAAACTTCACATGAATGTGAATGTGTGTCCGCCCAGTAGAGAGAGTAATGTCTGCTTGAACAAAAATATGGAAATCACACACACAAACCATGATAATTCATCAACAAGCAACAAACAATTAGATTATGTGATCAAATAAACACAAAATACGGAGTCAACAGTGACACTGATATAAATGTTAAGAGCTCTTGGCTAAGTTGCAAAGAGAAGATTCAGTAATAATTATGTCACGTGTTAGAATGGGTGTTGTCTGGAAACAAGCCAAAGTGGAATTATGTATCTAAATATAGTGCAGAATATAAGTAGTATTGGAATCGTTAGGAATCATTGACACTTAAGGAAGATATCCTTTACAGAAACTGGGTCGGTGACCTAGATAACTCATTAGAATATCAGATTATTCTTCCTAAAGTCTGTATTAAACAGGTTTTAAGTGCATAATTAAACAATATCAGCTCATTTTAGCGTAATTAAAGAAAACAATATTAAGGGTTAGACAAAAGTTTTTTTCTGGTATTGCTTACGAAAATATATTAAAGACCGGATTAGAAAATGCATTGTATGTGAACCAAGAAAACTGGTACATCAGACAAAAACAAGTTTACATGAAAATATTCGTAACTGGAAAAAGTTAGGAAAGAAATGGGGAAGACTTTGAAAGTCCTTTAGGGAAAATTGAATAAACACCAAGAAATTTAAACAATTCATATCAAATGGTAGTCACGGATTACTTCTCTAATTGGGCCGAGGCAATTCCATCACCTTATATAGAAACTCAAATAGAGAGAAATAAGAATCCCTAAAGAAAGCCCAACACGGCAAAATTGAAAATGTTCAGGCTTGGTTTGATTGCGCCTGTTCATGGACGGTCCTGGTAAGTGCAAAATATCGTCCACGCCCCCTAGCACCGGCTTAAGCAGTATTCAACATTTAACATGAACTGGTAAAATTTTGAAACAACCGCAGATGTGTTCATATGGCGGTTATCATGGAACCTTCAAAGTGACACTTTAGTGCCATTCCATGAAAAGCGGCATATAGCCCCCAAGTAAAAAAGGCGTGTGCCCTAAACGAGAAAACAATGGGCGGAACTAAATAAAATTGAATTTGAAAGGGGATCAGAGGTTATGATCAAGTAGTAGTAGATACACTTATATCAAGTGTTTCTCAAAGGCTTTGAATAACTTTGAATATACAGAGCAAGGTCCACAGTTTGAGTCTAATCTTTTAAAAGAGCTCTGAAATCTATTTGACATTAAACCTGAAGGGGCTGGAGAGTTTTAGTACGATGTTCTGTTGTAGAACGATTTTCGGCTCAACGTTGGCAATATACCAGAGTATACAAACAAACCTTTGTTACTGTGAGATCCCCTATCCATTCCATTATATGGGTTTTTGTGGAATCGGGACTGAGGCTCACAGGGGCAAACCGGAAATCGCGAGATATGAGCTGACGGTTTTCTACCCAACATTGACAAAACACGAGTGTTTTCCCAACGGACACATTGATACTAACGGACACACGGTCAGACCCTTAAACTTTCCCAACATATAAGGTTTGTGGAATTGAGACTTGGGCTCACATGTTCCAACCGGAAACGTCTAGAAAATTTTCATCATAAGTATCCGTGATTTTGGTTATTCTAGATAGCTGGATTGTCCGGAGATCTAGGTGATTGGTAATTTGAAACTACATTATGGAATAAACCAATGGTATTTTGCACAGGTTTTACTGTATCATCTCGGGCTAGCCGGTTCCAGTCGGAACCGGATTTCGAATGGCCAAAGTAGCTGGTTAGACAAAAATATGGTCAGGTTGATCCGGCTACCTACACGAACATGATATTTATGCTGTTAAAATGTTTTCTCATAAATCGACTTTTGTCTTAACATATTTTCTTTAAATTACCCAGATAATTGTTGTTTTGAACTGTTGTTTTTAATTGATTGCGAGATGAAGCTATCTATATTCAAAAGGACAGGTTGAATTATTCCGTAATGTTGAAATATAAAAAATTGTAGGTTTGTGATATCTCGTTTAGTCCTCTCACTATTAAAACACTATTTATATAACCAAAGTGAAAGGTGATGTAAAATCCCTGACAAAAGTTTGAATTAATTTCTATTTACATGCCATCGCCCCGGTTTTGCATAAAAGAACCTTCAGTCAATTAAGATGTTGTAAAGCAAGTTAATTTGTTTACTTTTATTTGTTTAATACAAGTTATTCACATGCAGTGACCATCACGTATTTCTTTCAGTCAGTCATTTACTCGTAGATCACAGTTAGAGTCATACAATAGCAACATAGCAAAAAAAAAAAAAAAAAAAAAAAAAAAAAAAAAAAAATATATTATATATATATATATATATATATATATATATATATCATAATAAAAAATGCAACTATAAAACACCATCCCGCAAACATTGTTCAGTCTTCACTTGGTAATGTTTTCATAATATGCGTCGGACAAGTTTTAACTAACGTAATATACAAAATTGTGATAAACCTTAGAATTTATAGCCCGATGACATGACATTTTACAGGAATAACATTTAAATCCATAATAAAAAATATTTTTATATATTGATTACTTGTCAATTTGAATATGATTATTTAATTGATTCTATTGCATAAAGACGCATTTACGTCGGACAAACTCATTTTACAATGGTCTGAGTATAGTGTACTAACTAAAGACTACAAATTGACAAATTATGACGTACACCTAGGAAGTCAATCGGAAGGTATAGAAGGAACAGATAAGAGATCCCTTGCAGGTAAACAACTACAAACATACAGTAGATTTTTTTTTATTCATACACCGATGTAAATGAATTCTAAAATGACAGCTATGAACTCACTCTTTTAAAAAATAACACACACACACGCACGCATACACACACACGCGCGCACCAACATACGAACCCATGAATGCATGCACTCACATACAATGAGTTTGTAAATTTAAAAAATGCATTAAAATAAACATAACAGAGTACGGTTTGGCATTCTCATTAATTGCAACAAAAAAAACTTACATATTCAATAACAAATAATTTATAAAATGAGAGCTATAAACTCACCCTCGCACACACTCGCGCAGAAACATACACCAGCACACGAATGCATGCACATACATACAATAGATTTGTACATTTTGAAAATAAACATAACAGAGTAAGTTTTGATATTCTCATTTATTGCAAAAAAACTTCCATATTCAATAACAAAATTTGACATTTCTTTAAACATTTGTTAAAGAAAACGAAGTTAGTTACAGACTATGCATGTATGTTATTCTGCCATTAAATCTTTAGACTATTAGTCGGAAATTCATTTTCAGCGGGCCAGTTCTCCTTCTTGACAATAAGTATACTATTTGAAAGAAAGAGTCAAGCATATGGATCCATGTACTTTGCTCCATTCCCAATATATGTTGTGATTTCTCTGTGTTCAATTTGGTTAAGAAAAGAGATAGGCTCTTGCATTGCTTTATGTACTGGTGGAATCATGGCAACCGTGCTACAATGGATTGCGGTATACTCAAGATTGCCACCTGTTTGGTACTTTACATATCTTGATGGTTGGATTTTGGGAAACCTTGTCTGCATTTGCGTTATTCTTATAATAAATGTAATCTTGCATTTATGCGGACCCAAGGTTTGTCTACTGTTTACTAGACACGTTTAAATAAAAGATATATCAAATGGTCTCATTGGTTGTTACTATAAAAACTTATCATTTTCTAAACAATTTTCAAATAAGAAATAACTAAGTTATTACAACTTTATTTAAATAATTTCAATAATTTTGAACAAAATTAAATTTAAATGAACTTAATGACTAATTTGTACTCTGTTGTATCGTCTATTTGTTAAGGACTTTGCCTACGTTTTTCACGTAGACTTACTCAAATTTACATTGAATTATCTTTATACTTATGATCATTATAAAGGACATTTCTGCCGATGAACAAGAAAATGGAGACAGCAAAGAGAATAAGTTTGAATCTTTTTTTACCGTTTTGGTTCCGCTTATACAAGATAAAATAGAATGACAACAATGTTAAAATCAATAAGAGCACCCATTGATTTAAACGTTAAAAAATAAATCACTACTTAAGCAGCCTATGGAACCGAATAGTAACAATCAGAATACACATGATTATATTTTAGATAAATGAGAACTGTGGACATAAAGAAACAATTCAGGACGAAAAAGAAGAAAGTCTGCTACCTGCGGTAGGTTTGAAGTGTTTAAACTTCCTTTATTACATTCTTCCTGTACAAGATCAAATGATATCACAGCACTGTTGAATCAAAGTACCAATTGAATTAATGTTACAAGAACGGCACCGTTCTCAAATTATGCATTATATTGCAATTTAAAAGGAATATAATGAAATGGTGCGACAAACGTTCAACGATAACATGACGTTGTGTTCGGGAAATTCGACCAAATTAAAACCATATGAGCTTTATATCTAAGCCTATAAGTTCTAGAAATCAATTTTGTTTCTGGTATAACACCGTGTCTTTATTTAGAAGTTAACATCTATCAGCATTCCATTGATAACAAAATCAACTTGATATATAAAAAAAAAAAAAGAATTCGACATCAGGTGTGCGAGTTTGTAGCTAAAAACTAACATGTTTGAAACATATTCCTGTCTATAATTTAAAAATTCAGAACATAGAGCATTGGCGCATGACATCGACTTGTGGTCTTTCCTGCTGAACAAAAGGTGTCTTATATGTATGCAGTGTAACTTAAAAAGCCTTCAGCATACCATTTTAAATAATCCATTAGACAAGGAATATACACGACGAACAATGATGCAAGAATCTTCTTTTAACCACAAAGCTTAAGAAACAAAAACTACCTGGCGGCAAAATAGTTCAAAAGCCATTTTATGATTATTCAAATATGACTTGTGAGTAATGGTTGAGCAATTGAGATAGATCATATATAAAATATTTATAAATAGTTACAATGGGAAAGTTTACATCAATTGATTGAAATATTACATTTTTTCTACAATTAAGGTTGAACAACTGAGATATGGAAAGGTATTCACAAATTTTCATTCGAAACAATTTCATGGAACAATAAAAGCTACTTTCACAACAAAATAATTATATGTTATCCATTTTGGGCATATTTGCCCTGAAAATTTGACTTATTATCAAGTATGGCAGTTTTGTTACATTGACGAAACAACTAATATCTTGTTGTTTTATGTTTTTAAAGGGATAGTATTTAATTCTAAAAGCTTAAGCTATTTAAATTTACCCCGTTTTGCGGTCACTTTCTTTAAATAAACTTATTTTAGTTGATTAAGCTATCCTATGTGCAAATAAACCGCCAAAGTCTTAGATGTTTGTGGTACGTAATAGTGCCTACTGAACTTCTACAAAATGTAACATTAATCATGTTTCATGAGACAATAGTATTGAAGTTCAGTAATCCCGAGGAGGGGCAATTATCGATCCCACAGAAATTATTCATAAACCTTTATAGTACCTCAAGGCATTGCGTCTTTCCAATATTTATAGTCTGGATATAATGGTTTTTGTGTACAAAATTTGTAAAGAGATGCTAACATGAAGGTCTGAAAATATGCCGAACATAGGAAAATACTTTTAACCATCTTGCGCCAAACTTCAATGCACACAGCTCAGATATTTGGCAAGAAACAATGTTTTTTGGATTTCCTTCAAATGTTTATAAACCAGATGATCTTATACAATGTGAACTTACACTCTTAAATGTAATGTTCAAATACGTTATAATACTAAGTTGTTTCAAATCTTAATAATTAAATATAAATTATATTAAATAAAATCGCCAGTAACTGACAAAGATATTTTATTCCACTTTTTTATCGTACATCTATTCATCTTTAGAAATTTATACTATTTTTTAAAATGCTTATGGTTCAATTAAAGACATATCTAAAAATTATTTATTATTAAAAGATTACTTTAATTTCATTTTTATAAAGAAAGCGCAAAATTTCTGTGACATTCAGGCTTCATAACCCTGTTTTCCGATCCTAAGATTATTTGTTGTTGTATGTTGCTTGATTTGCTTATTGATATAGATAATCATTTAATGTATCATAATAAAATTTTCCTCGACTTTGCACAAAACTCCCTTGAATGTTTTAAATGGGTATTACAGGCAAGAAAGGAAACTTGGAACGGGAGAGGGGTAAGTTTGAATTTTTTTTTACCTCATTTTTTTAAAATAAAAAGACAGCAGTTGATTGAAATATTACATTTTTTCTACAATTAAGGGTGAACAACTGAGATATGGAAAGGTATTCACAAATTTTCATTCGAAACAATTTCATGGAACAATTAAAGCTACTTTCACAACAAAATAATTATATGTTATCCATTTTGGGCATATTTGCCCTGAAAATTTGGCTTATTATCAAGTATGGCAGTTTTGTTACATTGACGAAACAACTAATATCTTGTTTTGTTATGTTTTAAAGGGATATTATTTAATTTTAAAAGCCTCAGCTGTTTAAATTTACCCCGTTTTGCGGTCACTTTCTTTAAATAAACTTATTTTAGTTGTTTAAGATATTCTATGTGCAAATGAACCGCCAAAGTCTTAGATGTTTGTGGTACGTAAATGTGCCTACTGAACTTCTACAAAATGTAACATTAATCATGTTTCATGAGACAATAGTATTGAAGTTCAGTGATCCCGAGGAGGGGCAATTATCGATCCCACAGAAATTATTCATTAACCTTTATAGTACCTCAAGGCATTGCGTCTTGCCAATATTTATAGTCTGGATATAATGGTTTTTGTGTACAAAATTTGTAAAGAGATGCTCACATAAAGGTCTGAAAAATACGATATGCCGAACATAGGAAAATACTTTTAACCATCTTGCGCCAAACTTCAATGCACACAGCTCAGATATTTGGCAAGAAACATTGTTTTTGGGATTTCCTTCAAATGTTTATAAACCAGATGATCTTACACAATGTGAACTTATACTCTTAAATGTAATGTTCGAATACGTTATAATACTAAGTTGTTTCAAATCTTAATAATTAAATATAAATTATATTAAATAAAATCGCCAGTAACTGACAAAGATATTTTATTCCACTTTTTTATCGTACATCTATTCATCTTCAGAAATTTATACTATTTTTTAAAATGCCTATGGTTCCATTAGAGACATATCTAAAAATTATTTATTATCAAAAGATTACTTTAATTTCATTTTTATAAAGAAAGCGCAAACTTTCTGTGACATTCAGGCTTCATACCCCTGTTTTCCGATCCTAAGATTATTCTGTTGTTGTATGTTGCTTGATTCGCTTATTGATATAGATAACATTCAATGTATCATAATAAATTTTTCCTCGACTTTGCATAAAACTCCCTAGAATGTTTTAAATAGGTATTACAGGCAAGAAGGGCAACATGGGACGGGAGAGGGGTAAGTTTGATTTTTTTTGACCTCATTTTATAAAAAATAAAAAGACAGCAGTTGATTGAAATATTACATTTTTTCTACAATTAAGGGTGAACAACTGAGATATGGAAAGGTATTCACAAATTATGATTCGAAACAATTTTATGGAACCATTTACGCTACTTTCACAACAAAATAATTATATGTTATCCATTTTGGGCATATTTGCCCTGAAAATTTGACTTATTATCAAGTATGGCAGTTTTGTTACATTGACGAAACAACTAATATCTTGTTGTGTTATGTTTTTAAAGGGATAGTATTTAATTCTAAAAGCTTTAGCTATTTAAATTTACCCCGTTTTGCGGTCACTTTCTTTAAATAAACTTATTTTAGTTGATTAAGCTATCCTATGTGCAAATAAACCGCCAAAGTCTTAGATGTTTGTGGTACGTAATAGTGCCTACTGAACTTCTACAAAATGTAACATTAATCATGTTTCATGAGACAATAGTATTGAAGTTCAGTGATCCCGAGGAGGGGCAATAATCGATCCAACAGAAATTATTCATAAACCTTTATAGTACCTCAATGCATTGCGTCTTGCCAATATTTATAGTCTGGTTATAATGGTTTTTGTGTACAAAATTTGTGAAGAGATGCTTACATAAAGGTCTGAAAATATGCCGAACATAGGAAAATACTTTAAACCATCTTGCGCCAAACTTCAATGCACACAGCTCAGATATTTGACAAGAAACATTGTTTTTGGGATTTCCTTCAAATGTTTATAAACCAGATGATCTTATACAATGTGAACTTATACTCTGAAATGTAATGTTCGAATACGTTATAATACTAAGTTGTTTCAAATCTTAATAATTAAATAGTAATAAAATCGCCAGTAACTGACAAAGTTATTTTATTCCACTTTTTTTATCGTACATCTATTCATCTTCAGAAAGTTATACTATTTTTTAAAATGCTTATGATTCAATTAAAGACATATCTAAAATTATTTGTTATTAAAAGATTACTTTAAAATAATTTTTATAAAGAAAGCGCAAAATTTCTGTGACATTCAGGCTTCATAACCCTGTTTTCCGATCCTAAGATTATTTGTTGTTGTATGTTGCTTGATTTGCTTATTGATATAGATAATCATTTAATGTATCATAATAAATTTTTCCTCGACTTTGCACAAAACTCCCTAGAAATGTTTTAAATAGGTATTACAGGCAAGAAACGAAACTCGGGACGGGAGAGGGGTAAGTTTGAATTTTTTGACCTCATTTTTTTAAAATAAAAAGAAAGCAGTTGATTGAAATATTACATTTTTTCTACAATTAAGGGTGAACAACTGAGATATGGAAAGGTA